GTTTTCTTTTAACTTTAAGAAAACGTTGCTTAGTCTTTGGTGACTTAGCAAAGAGATTAAAAGCTTTTTTTAAAGCTAATTGGAAATATTTTAAAACAATCGATGCTTTTTTTTTTATTAAATTAAACTGAAATCTAGCGAAATCTCTTTCAAAAACTGTTTTTAATGTTTTATTACGATTTTTTAGTACGATGACCTCATCAAAAGTGTAAGAAAATCTTTGGGAAATCGAGGGGATTATGATTAAATCCATACAAGAGAAAATATTCATACAAGAGTGCAAAAATGGATTAACTCGTTTCTTTGAAAAAATCTCTTCCGACTAACTGTTTTTAACTCGATTTCTCGCTCGGACAACCGTGGAAATTGGGAATTTTTCGTGATCAAGACAATGAGAGGGTATTGCACATTTTTGTATAGCTTAGAGACAATAAGACTTTCCAAACTTTTGACGTCAATCTTTGCCTTAAAATTTGCCCCCATTTTTGCTACATTCTGTTCAACCATTGTGTTACTTTAACAGTAGTTTGAGTAGCCAAAATTGAGGGAACAATTCGCTCTGATTTGAGAGTTTTGCCCCTCGATTTTCTCTGGATTACTTTTAGTCGAATCATTTGATAAACCCGAAAATTTGCTATCATTTTATCGTAATTTCAAAGAGCTATTTTACCCTGTAGATAGATGGATAAATAGATAGATAGATTCCTAGATTTTACCCTGTTTTACCACAATCAGCTCGATCTATCTAACTCTAAAACTAAAGGAATTTCAATTTTGAATCCAATCGACAAATGATTCATTCAAAATTGGGGTAAAAAAAGTGCTGATGTTGAGGGATTTAAGTTTTTAAATCCCTCAAAATCCCTTTTTTTGAAAGACTTTAGATTTCTAGATAGATAGATAGATAGATGGATAAATAGATAGATAGATAGATTCCTAGATTCCTAGATTTCTAGATTTCTAGATTTCTAGATTTCTAGATTCCTAGATTTCTAGTTTTCTAGATTTCTAGTTTTCTAGATTTCTAGATTCCTAGATTCCTAGATTCCTAGATTCCTAGATTCCTAGATTCCTAGATTTCTAGATTTCTAGATTCCTAGATATCAATTCTGCATTTTAAATTCTTAACCTTATCCTTTGCAAAAATGACAAGCCAATGCCAAAATGGACAAAATGGGCAAAACAAAACTGAGCATAAACAGCCGTAAATTCGGCGAAAGTGCTTCATAAAAGTGGGGTGTGAACGAGTGAATACATCAAATGCGTCAAAAAGCATTTTCGAGAAGAAGAAGAAAAAAAGGGAATCAAGCCATATACTAAAAAGTGCTCTTTTCTGGGAGAAAGGCTTTGTGGAAGAGAAAGGTGAAAAGTCTCGTAGGATGGCAGAAATTTGACCCTCCCTTCTCGGGACATCTATAGACTTGTGAAATTGTCTTTTTCTTTTTCGACTCTTTTATCTCTTGTCTCTTATCTTTTCTATAGGCCCTGGTCAGCCCTCAATCTCTAGGACTTAGCCAATTAAATACAAAACCCAGCTCTGTTCAATTACAGGGTGAAAACAGAAATCTAACTTCAAATCTATAGTAACTTTATAGGAGATTGTAGCTTTCGAAAGTACTTGTAAAGTACATTACTTATAGAGTACAGTAATTGTAAAGTACAGTACTTATAGAGTACAGTACTTGTAGAGTACAGTACTTGTAGAGTATAGTACTCGTAGAGTTACCGAAAGTACGGTAACTCTACAAGATACGCTAGCTTCTTGAACTACGGTAACTGGAGGAAAGTTTAAAGAGGTATGAGGCAAGGAAATTGAGCTACGACAACTATGTAACACTATCACCACCGCTTTACCTTACAAGTACGGTAATTGGGTAGGGTTTAGAAAAGAGTACACCACTATGTTCAGGATTTAAACTATTCAGAATGTTAGCTGATGCTATGACAAGATAGAGAAATCTAGGCTCAAGATACATAAGATAAGGAAAGTTTAAAGAGGCATGAGGCAAGGAAATTGAGCTACGACAACAAGCTTTATGCTTTATAGAGTACTTATAGAGTACTTATGCTTTATAGAGTACTTTTAAATATAAGCTATAAGCATAGCTTATATTTAAACTGCAAGATTGAATGCAAACTAACTGTTTGGCTAAGGTAGTTCTAATTCGAAATCGAAACTCCGGTCCGGGTTATTCGAAGGGTCAGCCCTGGTGATACTTTAGGAGGGCTGGTCCACAAAATATTTAAACTTTATGCTTATACTTAAACTATTTCAAAGTAAATATCTACTTTGTCCTTAGAAAAAATTTGCAAAAGTGGATTTGTCTAAAATTTTTCGACTCTTACAACTCCTCAAGGCCTCTTTCTGCCAAAAAAAGAGACCAAATGGGAGTAAATTTGTTTTTTCTTTTCCTTTTAAATGGAGAATTCTACTAGAAAAAGTGGTTAGAGACAACTGAATAAAGGAAAAGAAAAGGAAAGGAAAGGAAGAGAAATACGGACAGAATTACATGCTAATTTATTTTCTATCTAAACCAAGAGAGATTTGGAGTCTTCAAAATGGATAGATGAGTTATTGGTTGTGCTAAATTTTGAAAAAAATCCATTAAAATAAATCCATTAGCATTTTCTAGACTTCTTATAGCTTAAACCTTTCATGATTGACTTGTTTTCTACTTTATACCCGAAAAGCGAAACGCACAGTTTCTAACGCAGAGTTTTCAGCGCAATTTCACTTTATTATCGTGCCAGAAAAGAAGCCTAATATTGGGTTGGTGGAAATTTTTTGAGAGAGTACCTTAAATTTGTCGAATTTAGACGTTTTATAGCTCATCCTAAAGCTGAATTCAAGACGGATCGATTGGTAAAAACCGTTTTGAGATATCTCTTTTCTAAAAGTTTTTACAGCTATTTTAGTAAAGGGCGTCAGAGCCAAACTTTTAGAAAAGAGATATCTCAAAACGGTTTTTACCAATCGATCCGTCTTGAATTCAGCTTTAGGATGAGCTATAAAACGTCTAAATTCGACAAATTTAAGGTACTCTCCCAAAAAATCCGAAAGAACTTTTCCACCAACCCAATAGTTCGGAAATTAGAGGCTCAATCCATCAGAAGGCCATCAGAAGTGTTTTCACTTTTTTGTACAAAGTACTGAGTACAAAGTACTCAATAAGTTTCAAGTTCTAGAGGTGAGTCAATAAAGTTCTAATGCGTTTAAACAAAAAGAAATTTTGAAATAAAAGAAAATAGTAACAAATCTTTTTTTCTACAAAAAACTAAACTATTCTCAAGTTACAATTCTTTTAGTTTAGCTTAAAATTGAAATGGAATCACCGATGTGAAAGATTTTTAAAAAGAGAAAAACAGAACAAAAAAAATATTGAAACTCAAACTCCCAAAGGGGATTTTTCAGAGATTTTTCTTTTCTTTCTTTCTTTCTTTCTTCCTTTCTTTCTTTCTTTTCTTCTTTTTTCAATGAGAACTCGATTTTCTTGACTTTTCTGGTTTTAGAAAGACTTTTTGAACAGAAAAATAGGTTATAACTCATTTTTTGGATAAGAAGTGAGATATGTTCTTGAGAAAAGAGAAAATATCAATGTTTCAACTCAAAAATCACATCACTACTCAATAAAAATTAAGATTGATTATTGAAAGCTACGATATTTTCTTCATTATTTTTCTTTTTCTTCATCTTCATTCATTCACTTTCTTTTTATGTTCTAAAGTTTAAGTTCTAAAATTTTAGTTATTATCTAGCACATAAAACTGTTGTCTATCTTTCTGGGTGAACTTTGTGCGTAGAAACGCACCTATTCTAATGCACTTAAATCCGAATTTCTCAAAGCTTATTGTCAAAAGAAAATCAAGAATTCAGGAAACGCTAGGAAGTATGCGTTTTGTATACTTTGTGCTTTGAAAAACTTGTAAACGTATCTAGAATTGAAGAGAATGTCCGATGATCGTTTCAGCAGCTCCGAAAATGAATGCGAGTCGAAATTTACGGTAAATATTGTAGCTTTTCCTTCGTTAGCTTTTCTTTCCTTAGCTTTTCCTTCCTTAGCTTTTTCTTCCTTAGCTTTTCCTTCCTTAGCTCTTTCTTCCTTAGCTTTTCCTTCCTTAGCTTTTCCTTCCTTAGCTTTTCCTTCCTTAGCTTTCCCTCGGTCAGAAAGTTACGATTTCTTTTAGAATGCTGAGCTTTAAGATCGACAAGTTGACGAGCTCTACCAAATGTTCCAAGAAAAGATAAAGGTTAGAAGGATCCGATCGGATGTCCGGATCCGGATCTCTACGCAAGCATACGAAGAACAAATTTCGAAAGCACAAAGTACAAGGATATTGAGAGAGAAGAGAGAGAAAGAAATTTAGAAATTTAATGCTAAATTTTACGAAAATAGAAGATGAGTCACTAGGCTTTTTACATGAAAATAACAAATTGAACAAAATTTCGATCTTGGAATCAAATAAATTTCAAAGTTGAACGTTTCGTGGCTCAGTTTCAGCTTTTCTTTGCCATTTTTTTCCACTTTTTCCCCATTTTCAGCCATTTTCTCGTTTCCTTTGCCGAAAAAGAAACGAAGAAAACTTGTCAAATCAAGTGGAAAACTTTCGAATTACACAAAATTTACAAATTTTTAACTAAAATTTTCTGAAAATTTGAATTTAAATAGCTGACAAGAGCCTAAGCTAAAAGCCTAAGCTAAAAGCCTAAGCTAAAAGCCTAAGCTAAAAGCCTAAGCTCAAAGCCTAAGCTCAAAGCCTAAGCTAAAAGCCTAAGCTAAAAGCCTAAGCTAAAAGCCTAAGCTAAAAGCCTAAGCTAAAAGCCTAAGCTAAAAGGCTAAGCCTAAATCACAACAGATATCAAAAACACAAAAAGTGGCATGCAAAACGATAAGTACGATATTGATTTCATTAAAAATAAAGATCTTGTCTTGATAAATAGATAGATATATATATAATCTATATTTTAGAATAGATAGATAGATAGATTTTTTTTCAATTCACCAACCTGCTGGATCGGGATTGATGGTGAGAACGGGAGAATATGGACCATAGCCTTTCATTGTAGCCGCTGCCACCTGGGAATTTAGAAATACAGTCGACTCTTTCTATAACGGAATGGAAGGGACCAAAAAATGTTTCCGTTATCTAGAGCTTTCCGTTATCTAGAGCTTTCCGTTATATAGAATGCCGTTTTACAGTAGGGGTCATATCTTTGGACACACCTCGCGCGTTAAATTATAATTTGTTCGTCCTTTTTGCTAATAAGAGCTTTTTCTACCGAAATCGACTATTTTATACATTTTTTATCCCTTTTCATTATTTCTGCATGAATTTGGCTTTTACTTTCATTCTCATGTATTTTTGAGCTACTTTACCCGAGGACACCCACTTTCTGGGGGTTCATAACTTTGGACACACTTGTTGAATACATGGTTTTCTTTAGATGCCATCAAAGAAAATCTTGTCTAACGACTTGAAGGACCGTTTGGTAGCCAATATGAGTATTTAGCTTAGCGTCGACCGGGACCAAAATTCCATTCTGTTATATAGAGTTTCGTTATAGAGATCTTGATAATCTTGAGTCAAAGAATATTATATATAAATCTGATCTCTAGTTAAGAGATTATAAGATTTAGTTTGAATTTTGACTATAACTTTCTTTTTTAGGCTACTTCCAGGTGAGTCAGATTTGCCGAGTGATCAAAAATGGCTAATCGCACTCTTTCTGGCGCACTTAATTCCTCATTTTTCTCACATTTTCAAATGAGAAATTCGAAAGTAAAGAGAAATTTAGTGCGCTAGAAACTGTGCATTTGAAAGAGGACAAAGTATGACGTTACTTGTATCGGCGTCAGTCCCAGGCTGAGCATTCAAGAAAAAGGAATCCTTTTACTAGATTAAATGAATACTTTAAGATCAGATTTATAGCTTGAATATCTATTTATTGAGAATATGAATTTATGACTTGAATATCTCTTGACTGACCTTAAATGTGTAGCTTTTTCTCGGCTCAACGGAGAACACGGCCGCCTTGTCACTCCCAGCCACCTGAAAATTCCAGAGATTCCAGAGATTTTGACGGAAAATTGTCATTTACATAAAGATTTCGATTTGAACAGATTTAAAGAGATTTCTGGATAATAAGTTGAGGAAAATCCTATAGAGATGAGGCTTTAGTTTTAAGTTTTAACGTTTTAAGAAAAGGTTAAAGATTTTAAGAATAAAGGCTCAACGTGCTTTTGAACGTGCTTTTGATGAACAGATGTTCCATAAATATCTTCAATTTTCTTTTCATATATTTATTTCTTTTGATACTCATTCATTGCGTGTTTGAAAAAGTGATTATCGATGCTCAAAAGAGCTCATTGAATATTTGATTAGAGAAAGTGAGAGAGACATGTTAGAGGACAGAGAGACCTGGCAACAACAGGCTTGCTTTCCGAGCTACTATCAGATTACTATCAGCTACCAAACAAGGCTAGAGCCTGGCATCACCTTACTGTACTATCAGATTTGATCCAATGCCAGCTACCAGCAAATCCAATGCCCAGACAGCTTTAGTCTCAGTTAGCTTAAAAATCCAGGCTTTGTCTCAGTTAGCTTACAATCCAGGCTTTCCTTTTTTTCTAAACTGAGCACAGTTCACCGATCAACAACAGTTCTAAAGTTTATAATTTAATATAACTGGATATTAACCTTATTTCGATATTCTAGAACTTAATTGTTCTACGATTTCTAGACAATTTCCGATTATGAAAGAAATTTCCAATTTTTGATTCAAGAAAATTGAAATAGCCAAAGATATAGCCAAAAATTCGAGCACTAACGATTTGCGCAAAAAAAAGCATAAAATCTTGAGGCTAAATGTTCAGATGAAGGGCTTTGAGAAAGGAGTCAATGGAGAAAAGGAAGGGGAAAGGAGAAGACTCTCTCACAAACAAGCGATAAATTCTCAGATAGGAAAAAAGGGAATGGGGAGAAAAAGTGGCGAAGACAAGGTCCTAGGGTCTAAAGGGGATAGGGAAAGGGAAGAGGGAAGGGAAGAGGGAAAGGAAGAGGGAAGGGAAGAGGGAAAGGAAGAGGGAAGGGAAGAGGGAAAGGAAGAGGGAAGGGAAGAGGGAAAGGAAGAGGGAAGGGAAGAGGGAAAGGAAGAGGGAAGGGAAGAGGCTCAAGGAATCCCTGGAAGATCCTGGATGGATCCCTGGATGAATCCCTGGATGAATCCCTGGATGGATCCCTGGATGAATCCCTAGATGAATCCCTAGCAACTCCTGAATGGATCCTGGATGGATCCCTGCTTGAATCCCTTCTAGTCAAACAAAGCCATTACGTTCTCTCATTATGCCACTTGAGCTTTGCTTTGCTCCTTATCAACAATTTTCTAGAATTTAATGGAGAATGTATGTCAGTTTCCTAGTTGGTCTCCTCTTACTCTCAATAATTTTTCTCACATGTAAACCTAACACTTTTTAAGAACTTTGCCATTATGCCACTTGAGTCCCATCATCATTCTCGATTTTGTTAGCTTCTAGGTAGATATTAAAACTGTTTGAAATGGAATCTCTCAAAAATGGAAACTCTTTCTTCTAAACAGAAGACAAAGCCTTTGCACGGATGTCCCTGGATGGACCACTGCCTCTTGCCTTCTTCCCTTCTTCCCCCATCCAATTACTCACTCGTTTTCCTAGGTCTCTTCTTTTTCTTTTCTTTATTTTCATCAAAATTTGCTTCTTTTTCTCTCCCATTTTAGTCTGTCTTAACCTCATGTTCATCTGTTTTGAAAGAAATTTTTTAAACGAAGACTTACTTGAATTACTGAATTACTGAATTACTGAATTACTGAATTACTGAATTACTGAATTACTGAATTACTGAATTACTGAATTACTGAATTACTGAATTACTGAATTACTGAATTACTGAATTACTGAATTACTGAATTACTGAATTACTGAATTACTGAATTACTGAAAAGTAAGCTAATTAAATTACTAAATTAACTAAATTAGAAAAATAAACAACACACAAAATAATTTAAGCACAGAAAAAGGCTTATCTAGTCGTATGTTTAAAATCGTATGAAAAATTCACACATAAATTCGGTTGTATTGGCGATGGATAGGGGAATGCTTGGCAACGCGGCGCTTCAAAAAAAAGAAAGCGGTGTCCCGGAAATTCCGATGAGAGAATTCTCAGAGAAAAAGGGGAAATTGGGGGGGATTTCTTCATAAAATTATGGATTACGATCGGGAATTTTCGAAAGAAAAATTTTGCAATGGCAATAAAATAGAAGAAAAATGTGTCTGATTGGTCATGAGAATTCCCCAATGAACTCAGCTCAGTTGAGGGGCTTTAAAAGTATGATTTCTAAACTCTAAAGAGTTTAGAAATTTGCCCCAAAATGGTGGCCAATTTACGCTTTTCTGCTATCTACATTTGCTCTGCTAGACAAAGCATTTGTAGTTCTAAAAGAACAAAATCGAATTATCAATTTGTTTCGAATCCGATTGTCGAAAAGAAATCGAACATGAGAAAACAAAGCTGTGGGTTTTTTTGGAAAAGCGAAGAAGCGTTTTTTATTACTTACTGGAAATTTTCATTAAAATGTGTGAAGGCTCAATTTTAAGCCGAAAAACAAATATTTCGATAGGAAATTTTGGTGAAAAGAGATGATGGGAAAGTTTGAACGACGAGAAGGGGGAAAGAGGCGTTAATTGGTGCTTATTCATGGGGAATTCAACCAGCGGACAGGTTGAAAAGATCGATTCCAGATTTTGAGATCAAGAAATATCCAATTTTAGTTTCGATATTTTTTAGAAAAATGGATTAAGAGGCTAAGTGAAGCTGGATTTTTTGGGGAAAGTTATACCGGAAATGAGAGAAGTTACCGTATTTTCTCTAATAGTAGTGCACCCGGGCGAGCCGAGTTGGTCACTATTTTACGGTTTCTAATTTTTCCCAGAAGCTCAACACTCTAATCCCCCACTAGATCTCATCGTCAGCTACATTTTCCCACCCCACATCGATAGGTTCTGATAAGCGTTTCTCGAGATTTCGAGCAATTTAGACGACGCTTAGGGTGCACTACTATTAGAGAAAATACGGTATATTGGTTATAGAGATCGACCAGGTCTCAAAATTGCATTTAGCAATCAACAATGGGAATGGGAAAAGTTAGAAGCAAATGGAAGATTCAATTCTGAGCAGCAATGTCAGGAGCAAAAAGAAAAGCTGAAACAAAGGTTTTCAGGATTGTTTCCGTAAATTCAAATCATATTTACAACTAGCCTCGACTAAAGAATAGATAAAAAGACTCATTTTGATGCATATTGCAAGAGAAAAATGAATTAAGTGGCTAAGTGAAGCTAGATTTCTATAGGAATGGGAAAAGTTAGAAGCAAATGGAAGATTCAATTTTGAGCAGCAATGTCAGGAGCAAAAAGAAAAGCTGAAAGATCAAAGCTGAAGAAAAGCTGATCAAACTCGTAATCTTTTCCTTTTCACAAAACCCACCGTTTTCTCGATTGGTTGCCCGTCGGAATGCATTGGGGTTAGAATTGCCCTGTATGAAGTGATCTCTCCATTTCGGCGCTCCTCTGCCGGTGGCTCCCATGAGATTCTCATCTGAAAATTTCCCATCTAAAATTTTATTCTAAAAACTCTTATCTAAAAGATTTGTCTAAAAATCTATCAAAATTTATGTAAAAATAAAGAGATCCAAATGATCTTCAAAGTCTAACCAAAGCAATTCCTTCTCGAAAAACTCTCAAACTTGAGGAAAAGGTTCAAGTTTTTCGATTTTCATTGAGATTCAGGAAAATCTATTATAACTAAATACTTAGAATCTCGCAAAAATGAGCAAAAAATTGAGGGAAAAAGCGATTGAGAACATGTGTTCGGGTAAAGAGCTCACTTTTACTACTCAAAATTTTATCTACGTCCATTTCGATTGTAGTAAAAAGATTGTAAAAAAAGATCATGAAATTTTTTGCACTAAAATCTAGACTTTTCTTGAGTCCTTGAAATTACACTATGTTTCATGGACTCTTTTCTCTTTTTCTTAGAGCTCTTGTCACAATAATTAGTCAATATTGGCAGCTGATCAATTAGAATTCGATTGACAAGGGAGGATTTGATGGAAAGAAGATTCAGTGGGGAAATGGGTGCAGATTTGAAAGAAATCAAAGCAAAGTTATCTGATAAATCTACTCAAAGACAGCTCTAGTTCTACTCAAAAACAGGTCTAGTTTTTGAATTTCTTGGCTATTTATTTGATGCATGATATAATGAATACCATACAGTGAATTGCCCAGTCCCAGATCCACGTAAGTTAAATTGCTTTAATTGAAATTTCTAGATTAGCTAAATGAAAATGAAATGTTTGTTAATCATTGATTGTCTATCATTGACCCCCAAATAATCATCTTTTAACGGATAAACCTTGAACGGTGTCGGTTGATATGATTGCTGTTGTCGGCGTCGAGCCGCCTTCCAACCATCCATCAGATTTGGCATTATTGGGTTTACTTGAGTAGAGTGGGGAATCTTTTAGTTTGAGTTCAATGAAACTCAAGGCAAAAATTTTGAAATGTGAAATTCAGGCTTTGGTTTCAAGTTTAACACTTGGGGCTCAAATTTCAGCGAGTTTTGTGACAAAGGAGTGTCGGCAAACAGCAATGGATATGGGGTTTGATGAAAAGTATCATGAAAAAAACAATAGAAATAGAATTGGATAAGTTGATATGTAATAAAAAGTAAACAAATTTGTTTTATAAGATAGGAATCTAACTACAGTACCCTTGTTAATGAAAGAAAAGAACCAAAACTGATGAAGTCAGTCCAAAACGGACTGATGGTTGAAAACTGTTTAGGAAGCAATGCGATTCTCTTTTTTAAGTCTTTCTAAGTCTTTTTAAGTCTTTTAAAAGTTAAACCTATTTTTCTCACCTTTCCATCAACGACTTCATAGTGAACACCTGAGGGTTCAGCATCGGGTACTCCGACAGGTGTCACCAATCTCTCAGTGATATTAAAAGATGATCCCTCTTCATTCTCCGCACAAATGATAATCTCATAGGTTCGACCCAACCCTAGAAAAAGGTAAATACAAATTTTTATATTGAACTTACATAACCCATTCAACCAGGCTTCCGTTTGTGTGCCGTTGACGACGATCTTTCGGAAGTCTTTACCCTCGGGGCGATACCAGAGAATGTATCTATATATAAAAGTATAATAAAGTAAGAAAAATAAAGTAAGATGTGCATAATAAAGTAAAGAATGGCAAAGCAAGATTTCCAGAGGGTTCAACACTCGACCTCTCGACTTTTTTACTTTACAGGCAGATGCTCTATCCACTCAGCTATCTGGTATCTTTTTCCTAGCGAAGAAAGAGGAAATACAAGGGGAAGAGAAAGGAAGAAAGAAGGAAGAAAGAAGGAAATACCTGGCTATAAGTGTTACTGTTTTTGATTTTGTTCTGAGCAGATTTACCGATCAATTGGTGACTCGTGTGGACTCTTCTGATCATGAGGCGCCCAAGAAATTTTCGCTTTCACGGGAAAACCATCCGGATCTTTTGGCTCAACTGACACTGAGACGATTTGTGGCGGTGGAGGAGCTGAAATACCAAAAATAAAAAGAAACTTTCTTTAATGACTCACGGATTCCTCCGGTGACAATGGGTTGACTCTCAGAGAATTCCCCGTCTCCGTGTCTGTTGAAAGCGTTCACGCGGAAAACGTATTCCGTGTTTGGATCAAGTCGTTCCACAACGAATTCGGTCTTCTGTAAGTTTAACTCTTGAGGATTTGAATTTGTACTTTGTGCTTGAAACTAGAAACATACGGTTTCTGGCAGATTTCAATAATCCTTCGAAACCAACCTGTGCATCTTGGATGGCGGCCACTTTGTGCAATTTGTCTGGCACGGGTGCTCCATTTAATAGTTTCTCCTTGTACACGTAGTATCCTTTGATTTGTCCATTTGGTGAGAGTGGTGGATCCCAATTTAATCGAACCGTATTGCCATCGGCCAGCTCAACGCGAAGATTTAGTGGAGCGGATGGAACTAAAATTTTAAAGTTTTTGTTAATGTATCACTTGGATTTTCTTCAGTCTATGACTTCTTAAAAGTTTAAACTTCTAAGTTAAACTTCCAAGTTTAAACTTGAAACTTAAAAGTTTTCTAGCTACGCTAGACTTTTATGCATTCTAGACAATTTGGACAACTCGATCTTTTACGGTTTCCATTAAAATTGACGTTCGTTAGTCTTGTCTGTAATGAAATCGAATAATCAGGTTTTTAAGGTTTAAGGTAAATCAAAACCAACCCCTTTCCCAAGCTAAAGCATCTCATTTTGAAGAACAAAGCACGCTTTTCATGTGTGATGAGGTCAAGTGTTGAGTCCTCTTCTCTTTCTTTTCACCCTTTCATGAATACCCCAACAAATAGAGGCACCAATTGAAGCTTTTCTGTGAGTGCTCCTTTTCTCGACACTAACCATTCTTTTCCATATGATTCACCTCATTCATGCATAAATCTGCACAATGGTTGGCAAATGGAAACGTTTGAAAAAGCAAAGATTGACTGTGAAAAGAAAGAGAAAAATTTAATTTGTATTAATCATATGCGACGTTTTTTGAAAAACTAAAACGCGCTCTTTTTTTCGACACCGTATCAAAGTTCGTCGGGGAAAATTTTTTTAGTATTTCATTATTTAATTTTTTCATTCGAGATTTTGGCACTTTTGTTAAAATTAGGCTTTGCAGAACGTAAACATATGCTTTTGTTCTACTAAAACCACATGTTTTTCTTCATTTTGAGCTTTATAATCCTTTCAGTAGGGTGCTTAATTTTTTGATTTACAGGGTTAATCCAAGAAACGATGAAGCTGCTGATTTCAAATCCGGCGACTGGGCAAAACAAGGTGATCGAGATCGAGGATGAGAAGAAAGTGCGGCCCTTCTATGAGAAGCGCATGGCGCAAGAAGTTGCAGCCGATTCACTTGGGGATGAATGGAAGGTATGTGTTTTCTGTGGTTTATTTGGTAGAGCCTAAAATGTTTTCGTCACAAAGTTAGTCCTGCTCTTATTTTTATCACGAGGCCCCACTAAATTAATCAAGCCGTGATTTGAAAGATAGGGGCAAATGCAACGTATGTATAAACAGGTTAGCAAGCACAATTCGTTTGAACTCATCATTGTTGCACTAAATTAGATCATTAGTTTGAGTCAGAGCCGAGCATGAAAGATGCATCATAGCATGAGATCTGTTTAAAATGAGCAAGCTGAACTTTTCTATGCGTGTATGTATTTAGATTTTTAACTCATGATGCTTACTTCTTTTAGGGCTACATCGTGCGGATTGCCGGTGGAAACGATAAACAAGGCTTTCCAATGATGCAAGGCGTGCTCACAAATGGGCGTGTTCGACTTCTTCTCAAGAAAGGCCAAAAATGCTACCGTCAACGCCGAACTGGTGAACGCAAGAGGAAATCGGTCCGTGGATGTATCGTTGATCAAAATCTTTCAATCCTCAACCTTGTCATCGTCAAGAAAGGTTTTTGGCGCGTTATATTTCATTCATCTTTCTTTTCTAGGTGATGGAGAAATTGAGGGCCTAACTGACACAGTCATTCCACGTGTGAAAGGACCAAAGCGGGCAACAAAAATCAGAAAGCTCTTCAACCTTGATAAGGAGGACGACGTTCGCAAATATGTTGTTCGACACGACAAAGTTCTCAAAAATGGTAAGCTTCGCCTTTAATTTTTCTGCAAGCTTTCTTATGCGAACTGTAAAACTCTACATTTTGCATAGATGTTTTATTTAAAGGGGCTTATAGTATTTATGGAAAAAGAAACTTCTGCTTTTAGGAAAGACCCGCTCGATTGCTCCCAAGATTCAACGCCTTGTTACTCCACGTGTCCTTCAACATCGCCGTCAAATAAAGTCTCGTCGAGTGAAGCAACAACAACGTGAGAAGGAGGCAAGAGTTGCTTATGCGATTGTGTTGGCCAAGTATCAAAAAGAGCAAAAGGAACGCAAAAAGTCGATTAGCAGATCCTCTTTGTCGAAGAAATAAGTTTGATTTTTGTTATAAATTGTTGTATTACTATATAAATTGACCGAATCGCACAACCGAACCGAATTTAGATCAAGCTAATAAAATGGTGATCCTATATTTTTTTCGGGTTTCCCAAATTTTGAATGGCATTGAGAATTTGCTGGTGTATCTGCCTATGGGTGGAAGGGTTTTTAGAGTACTATGTATTTTCATACATTTCTTGATGCGTAGACAGGCCGGAGGGAAAGGTGGGGATTTCCCACGAGCCTCCCCCGGAGTATTTACCCGGTCGGTCACTCAAAACGAAATTTCTGCTATACTAGCAGAATGTAAAATCTTAGTGAATCTGGCAATAAATACGTTATTTGTGCAGAATAGTTGCAATTGCTTATACTTTTTCGCTAAAATTGTTATTAACTAGCGAATGGGCTATGAACAGAAAGGTCATTGGATCCATTATTTCACTCTCAAAATCCACCATAATGAAACAAAGAATGCCGGTTCTTAAGGAGGCTCACGTTGAAAAGAAGGTTGCCTAATCCCATGCAAGTCGCAATTTTTATTGCTGGTTTGCGAAAAAATGATTGTAGTCATATATGGTCAGTAATTGCTGAGATAGGATCCCTGCCCCCTGGGGAGTTGTTGACCTTTGAGGGGGAAATGCCCTGCTGGGTGCGAGATGTGGATGGATGAGCAAAAGAAAGAGAGGGTCATTGCGCCATCCTCACATCGATTTTTGTCTATTCCCCCGGAGCTAGTTCTTTTCGGAAAAGAAATTTGCATAGAGATAAATTTGTGCGAGTGGATTGTTTTAGCGAGTTCATTTTGGTGGGAATCAATCTAGCTTTGTGGTTTAGCTTTTGGATTGGTAACGCAATATTTTCAAACTGGTACCTATAGAATTTTTCCGAAGCTTCTCAAATTTGACCCTTGTTTTGATGAAATTTTGACGGCTGGCGGGGACAGCTGCGTCTTTTTTCGAACTGTACTCTGGTTTCCAGCTAATCAAATTGATGACTCAAATTTGTTTCAAAGAACGACTCGAATAAATCAACTGGGATTACAATGTGTGTAAGTTTAGACCTTTCCATTTCTTTAGGAATTTTTTTTAAGTGCTGAATCATGTATGCAAAATCAATGGAAAAGGATAGGATAAGAGAAAAGAAAGGAAAGGGATAACTCGTTTACTCACACAGACAGACTTGACTTGAGGTGGTACCCTTCTCTACATGTTTTTCCCTTTCTGAAAAGTTTCCACTCGATTTCACCACACACACACACAACAATTGCATTTGTGATTCCGGAAAGGAACAAGGATCTCCGTGAGAAATCAAGTAAAAGATGAAGTTTTTTTGAAATTCAAAAACTGAAGTCCACTATCTATGCCTTTTTCCAAAAAGGTGCTCTTTACGTTTTAGCACTTTTTAGGAAACGTTACAAGAATATTTGAAAATTACCCACCTTTTTTCCGCCGTCCTTCTACTTGGGCTTCAGAAGCAAATAAAATTAGCAATATTAGGATGTTAAACTCAAAAATTCGCCTCATTTTGTGTGCTCTTTCAACTTGGACATGAAAAGAGCTGAAATTGGAGAAGATATCTTACAGAGAAAATCATAAAATATGAGGGGAAAACACGGGCTTTCTTTTATTTTTTACAAATCAGAATCCCATCCAAATCGGAATCCCATCCAAATCGGAATCCAACTCTGCTCAAGAAAGAACAAAAAAAAAGAAGAAGAGCCGGCTTGAAATGAGATGAGAATGGAGCAGAAAAGAGATTGAGGGTGGAAAAAGGAGAATAAAAAAAATGGAATCGAACGCCTTGAGACGAGTCCAAAGTCAACAAGCCGTTGTGTTGATGTTTTGTGGGCAAAGGGAAACGCTGAACAAAAAAGGGAAGCGCTTGTTTGTGTGATCCTAAATCACAGCCCGAATCGGCCCCCCGAAATCGTTTCGTTTACATTCGGAAAGATAGTTTTCTCTTTTTCTTGGGCTTTTTAGCAAGGGCTTTCTTTTGATATTGGACATTTTAATGACATTTAAATGGAGAACTCTTTGAAAAAGTTTTTTGAAGAAAAAAAATCGTAATTACCGTAAAATTTAAATGAGATTACGGTAACAATAATTTTGTTGAAAAATTTAACAAATAAATAGTCTAACCAAATAGCTGAGATAAAGATTATTTTAAAAAAAAAAACGAGGCAAAAAGGAAAGCAATCTATCAAGAGATGAATGTCAGTAAGAGCAAGAGAGGCGGTCCCTATTCACCCCAGCCATCGCACTCTTTTTTCCATGGTACATGCGAGTGAAAATATGGGGGAAATTTAAGAGAGATGGGGAGAAAAAGGGAAAGAGACTAAAAAGAGAGGCATGGTCAAGGATTCGAAGGGTTCACGGAGGGAAAGGCCGACCCCCCGGGCTATCCCCTTGCCCTTACCAACCCTTATTCACCCACCCTTGTCCCCCACACCCTTGCCCATCCACCCCATCCATTTATAACCATCATATGTGATTCAAAGTGACACTTGCTGCTGGCAGCGATACCCCATTATCATTTGGTCAATAATGGATTAGAAGAAAAGTGAACTGTAACAGAGACTTGCACAGGACAAAGTGTGCAAGTTGGAGGTGGAGAACGGACAATTATGCAAGCAGAACACGAAGATGAAGGACGAGATTCGAGAGCTGCGTAAATTGGTGGCCAAGCTTGTCATTAGAAAAATCATAAATCTTGCAGGGAATTTAGTGATTAGATTAGGATTAGAATTAGGACTCTTAGCTCCCAAGACTAATCAGAAACCAACATTTGAGTGTATAGAACTTGCAATTTTTATTTATAAAGCTCATGATCCGACTGGCTATACTATAAAGTGTCAAGAATACTCATTCCCTTTTCTACTCCGATGATCACAAAGTGTGAGTAAACGAGAAAAGTCGGTGAAGGGCTATTGTTGGCATAAAAGGATCAAAACGGACATCGGAGGAGAAGAAAAGGAAAAAGCGGTCTCTTGAAAAGAATTCCCTTGGGAAGAAATGAAAAAGAAAGATTGAATATTGGTGATTGGTATTCGGAAGGGAGAAGAAAGGAGAAGTGAGAATTGGTGAGAATTGGTGATTTGAATCGGATAGGAGAATTGATGATTTGAATCGGATAGGAGAATTGGTGTTTTGAATCGGATAGGAGAGTTGAAAAGAGAATTGGTGATTTGAATCGGATAGGAGAATTGAAAAGTCGAATCGAATCGATCGATCGTAGATTAAACGAGTTTTCGATTTTTTTTGACCAAAGAGATTCTCTCATTTCCTAAAATGTGTCAACTTTTGAAAACTAATGTAATCTTATATTTTTTATCTATCTAACACTCAAAAATCAGCTCAAATGTAGGATTGGAATGAGCAAAGGAATGAGCCTTTATCCAATGAGCAAAATCAGCTCATTGGATAAAGGTAGAGGTGATTACGGTTGAGAAGATGAGAAGCTTCTAAGAAACCATTAGAAAACCCTCAATTCTCAATATTCTCAATAACTTTACCAATCATATGGAAATATTTGAAGAAAACTGGAGAAAGAAAGCTGTAGGTAATATCTCAATGAGCAAAATCAGCTCATTGGATAAAGGTAGAGATGATTACGATTGAAGATGAGAAGCTTCTAAGAAAGTCTAAGCCTTAGCAAAAAAGCATAGCCAAATCTAGACTTAAGACTTGCAAATTGAAATTTTCGAAACATTTCCCAAGTTGCAAAAATGCATTTTTCATTTTTGGACTCCCATCTCTTTTGTCCCTCCAATTACAGCAATTTCTTGTGTGCGCCGTGCAGTGCGTAATTAATTTAAACCGATGAATTGCTCCCCAGAAACAAATGAGTCCCCCGGGGCTCCCATGGGGAAACTTGCGGCAAATTTTGAGCAGAAAAAGTTCATAGTAAAAGCAGCAAGAATAATAGGATTCAAAAAGACTCATCAATTGTTTTGATAGCAATTCAAAGTCGATTTTGATTGTTGTTTTCTGAAAAATTGACCGTCAAAAATGTCTGAACTCTCTCAACTCAGCTCTACGGCTGTATTTTAGATGATAAGAGCGGGAATTTGGTTTTGAAGTCTTTTTTTTTCGTTAAGATTTATGATTTAAGATGAAAGCTAAGAGCTAATCTGTTTTTAAAGAACTAATCATTTTAATCTAAGATCTACGATCAATTTAATCTGTTTTAGAATCGATCAACTTAGGGTATCAATTTCCGCTTTCGGCTTTGAAGTGTTTCAAGGATTGAATGCGAATGGATGAGCTTAGAGAAATTGAAGATTGTTATGAAGTGTATGGGTGGTGAGGATTCACGGGATTGGGTAAAATAAGCGGAAAGATGGATGGGATCAAAGAGATACAAAAAGGATGGGATGGAAGGGACAAGCATCTGCTCAGTTCTTCATCCTCTTCAACCCTTGCTTTTTCCGGTGAAGCCTGGGTCGAGCTTTAAATTTTGAATCTATCTCCAGCATTGCTGAATCAAATTTTAGTGTACTTTGAAACGCACCCTATCTAGCACAGAGTCTTTATCGTTCCCCGCCACTTTCATTGTTCTTTATTGTCTTTACTGTTACTGGGAATGACGAATTTTCGTGCACGAGAAGGAGTGTGTTTAGATTTCTAAGGAAAAAGTGCATCTAGAGATCTAGTAGTACATCTAGAGATCTAGTAGTACATCTAGAGATCTAGTAGTACATCTAGAGAGCTAGTAGTACATCTAGAGAGCTAGTAGTACATCTAGAGATCTAGTAGTACATCTAGAGATCTAGCAGTACATCTAGAGAGCTAGTAGTACATCTAGAGATCTAGTAGTACATCTAGAGATCTAGTAGTACATCTAGAGATCTAGCAGTACATCTAGAGATCTGGTAGTACATCTAGAGATCTAGTAGTACATCTAGAGAGCTAGTAGTACATCTAGAGATCTAGTAGTACATCTAGAGATCTAGTAGTACATCTAGAGATCTAGCAGTACATCTAGAGAGCTAGTAGTACATCTAGAGAGCTAGTAGTACATCTAGAGAACACATATTTGCAAGATTTGAACATCTAAATCTCCCAAAAAAAGCTAAAAAAGTGAAAGCTCTCAAAAATTACCATAAAATCTCATTTTGGCAAATTTACATTGGAAACTACCCAAATTAACATTTATCCATCAAATAAAAGGAAACACTTTTGTTGAATAGGCATCAGTTTTCTCAACTTCAAAGATGGCTCCATCAATCCCACATCATCACTGAACCCAAAGCCAAAGTCGTCTTCAATGCACCCTACGATGACAAACACATCTATCACATCAAGGTATGCATTTTTGATTTTTTTTTCTTTACCCTACTTAGTTATGACCCTTTTTTGAACTGATTTCCTTGTCACTTTTCATTTTTCTTTTTTAGATAATCAATGCTGGTGGTCGTCGAATCGGATGGGCATTCAAGACGACCAATATGAAGCGCCTTGGCGTCGATCCACCATGCGGTGTCTTGGATCCAAAGGAGGGACTTCTTGTAAGTTTATTTGTTGTCCTTATTTTGCTTCTCTTTCATTTGCAACACTAATTTCTGTTCTTTAGGTAGCTGTGTCGTGTGATGCCTTCGCTTTTGGACAAGAGGATACCAACAATGACCGCATCACGATCGAGTGCACCAACGACCAACACGGTGTCACCAAGCAATTTCGCCGTGAATGGTTTCAAGGAGATGGAATGGTCCGTCGCAAGAACCTCCCCATCGAGTACAATCCATGAATGATCATTCTTTATGACATTGGAGCTATTCTCGGTGCTTGCTGTCATGTCTTTTTGATTTCGGTTTTTAAATAAATGTACAAAAAATGAGTGATGGTTTGGAATGGAAGTTGGAAACTGAAGAACCATTGTGATAAATAAGCAAACTTTGCAAAAAGACTTGAAAGGTTAGAATCGGATTTGCAATTGAATTGGATTGGCATTTGGGTATTTGTGAGGATAGATTTTGATCGAAAGAGTCATGGAAGAGAGGAAAAAGTGAAAGAACACCATGGACAGGGGAATTCATGAATTATGCCCAGGAGAGAGAGAGAGAGACTGGGGGAAAGGAAAAGAGGGTACATATTCAATCTCGGTTCATCCGACTTATCGACTCATTCGCTAGGTGAATGCATCGATAAATTAGGATTGGAGAAATTAGAATTGGACGAATTAGGATTGGACAAATTAGAATCAAATTAAAATCGCTGTGTACTTGGGGAATTGAAATGCACTTTCTGGTGTACTTGATTCTTGATTCATTGCAAAGAAAAATAGAGAATTGAGTGCGCTAGATAGGATGCGTTTTGATTTGATTTGAAAAGACAAGGTAAAGATTTGATTTGATTTGAAAAGTCAATGTAAAGATTTGATTTGAAAAGACAAGGCACAGACTTACAGTGTTCATTTGATAGGAGTGACAAAAAGAAATTGACATTGAATCTACATTGAACACACCTACACGCCTCAAAACTACACCTCAAAACTAAAATCGTCTTCATAAGCTATTTGAAACGTCATCAAGCTATCGACAACTTGATGTAGCTTTCAATGAACATTGATGACAAAAAAAGCTTTCAATGAACTCTTCGAAACTCGAGTAGTAATTGTTCTTTTGCTTTTCGTGGGATAAAAGAAGAGGTGGCGGTCAAAATATCACAAAGAAAGTGGAATTCTCACGAAAGGAAAAGAGAGAGAATTCACGGACTTCAGCTAATTACAGATGGGGTGCGGGAGAGGAAAAAGGAAAGAAATTCGAGACAAATTCGAGACAGAAGGGGGGGACACACACACACTCCCGTGAATGGGTCCTCTTCCCACCCTTTCCTTTGATGTGACTACAAATGGCAACACCCTTCCACCTCAGCCTTATTTGTTGAGAACCAATGAAATGACTATTGAATCAAATTCTCAGCTTTTAAAGAGTTGTTTACAGAAGTGAAAACGAGTTTTTGAATCTGAAATGAGAGCTTTTTTTTTGCTAGATTTTGCTAGTTTAAAGGGTTTGACTTAAAAAAAACAAATATATTTCAGATTACAGCCTTTAAAATGAAGTAAATGATCGAAAATTAAGAAAATAAAACAAATAGAACAAGTAAGAGCTCAAAAATCGATGTTTTTGTTGAATTTTCATCCAGTTTTCAACGGCTTTAAGTTTTTTTTGTCGATGACTTTTGAAAGAAAAACAAATTCAAATCTGGCCCTTTATTTCAATCTTTTTGTACCTATGTTTTACTCTAGTTTTACGGTACTACTTTTAGTTTTCTTCCTTTTTTTCTTGTGAAAGTATTATAGCAATATGTTATAATGCGTCTATGAGTATCTGATTTGCTTCTATTCGCCCCCTAAATAAAGTCTATACCCGGCGAGCCGAGTTGATGACTATTTTACAGTTTCCAAGCTTTTGCAGAAGCTCAACACTTTAAAAACCAACTAGTTCTCATCGTCAGCTACATTTTCCGACCCCGCATCGATAGGTTCTGATAAGCGGTTCTCGAGATTTCGAGGAATTTAGGCAAAGCTTTAGGTGCACTACTATTAGAAAGAATACGGTATATAAATGAAATGACTGACAATCAGATGTTCAAGAAGATCAAGAATAAAATGATTAATTGAGAAGAATGCGCAAGAAAAATATAGAAAGTAAGATAATTTTGGTGAAATTTTGTGGAAACTTGCCAGAAATACGGAAAATTGACGCTTTTCTACGAAAAGCTCAAAAGTTTTAAACATTTCTCTTCACAAAAAACAACATTTTTTCACCCACCTGGTGACACCGTTTCGCCTTCGACTGAAAAATTATTCCTTTTGAGAATTTTGTGATTTGAAAAAGTTTCCAAAGAAAAGCCAGGGAAAGCACAACGGATTTACGGACATACGAACAACAATTACGCTATTTACGGACATACGAACATAATTTTTCTATAAAATTTTTGTTTTCAATTTTTCATTACGTAAGTCTTTACAATTTTTTTTTTCGAATTTTTGTTTTAATGAAGAAAGAATCCTTAACAAATTCTTAAACTAGAAAAAAAGATCTATAATTTTTCTATAAAATGGCTTTTGAGAGAAAGCTTAATGGGGAGAGTCGGAGTCTTCTTTATAACCTCACAAGTACCCCACAAGTACCCCACAAGTACCCTACAAGTACCCCACAAGTACCCTACAAGTACCCCACAAGTACCCCACAAGTACCCCACAAGTAACTGCGGCTTCATCGAGTTTAAGAGAGCTTTAAAGGGAGCTTTAAATGGAACATTAAAAGTCTTCTTTATGGCTGGATTTCGGTAAAAACTTTTTTTAACATAATCCCCATAAATTTTTGTTTTTATATTATCAAGTATCGTTTAAACACATCAAAATCAATCTGGCTGATGGTCTTTTTTCAAAAATTAGCATTTTAAGGGTAAATGAACCGACTCGGATTGGGAAATTTATGTAAACAAATTTACAGAATTACGTAATCAAATAAGCTCTATCTTTTCTACTTTAGCATAAAAAGGGTTTGTTTTTAAAAAAGTGTCCAAATTGCGGCTTTGGCGGAGCAGCTGCTTGCCAGCAGCAACAGTGCTCGCCAGCAGCAGCAGTGCTCGCCTTTCCGCTTTTGAAAATCTACAAAAACAAATATTTCCAAGAATTTTTAAAAAGCCATTTTGTAGAGAAAAAATCAAGCTAATTAATAGTTTAAATAGAAAATTTTGTTGATGGTGGCATTAGTTTTAAAAGACATTTCGAAAAAAAAATTGTAAAGACTTATGCAATCTAATATCTGAAAATCTCTCAAAAAAAACGAACAATCCTCTTTTGTCCTGATCGTCCTTCGGTGACTTTCCGGTCCAAATCCTTTCTCTGTCCCAGCCGCAATTGTCACTTCATAAACGGTTGCTGGGATTAAGCCGATGACTGTCGATTTCCCGCTCATCCCATCCACTCTCATCACTTCCCATTTCTCCTCATTTTTCTTCTCAATTTCATTCGATTCTTCACTCTCTTCATCGTTTTTTTCTCTTTTTATTGTTTCAATCGATCTCCATTTTAGTTGATAGTTAACGATTTTTCCGTTTTGATGAATTTGATCTGGTGGTGACCAAGAGATTTCGATTGAACTCGAATTTTCCGAGCTCATCGCAGTGATTGTAGGAGGACCAGCTGGAGCTAAAGCATAACAGATCTATGAAAAACGCACTCTTTCTAGTGCACTGAATTCACTTTCTTGTGCGTATCACAAAAAAAGTGAAGTCTAGAAGCTAGAAAGAGTGGGTCGAAATTTTTGAGCGCAAAGTCTCAAAGAACAAACACGATCACGATAAAAAGCACAAGGGATTTAAGAAATCATTGAAATCATTTTCAAACTATTGTATACTATTTAAGAATATTATCGACTAGTTATCGATCTTATCGACTAGTATCAAAATTTCTCTTTAACTAACCACTTGGAAGCGTTTGAGCGACAACCGTCGGACAAAATGGCCCTCGACCACGCTGCGACTCGGCTGCCACCCTGGGATTTCGATTTTAGATTTTAGATTTTCGATTTTAGATATTGTCTATTAAATATTGAATAGAGAATTAGTAAAACTATAAACATTGAATAGTGTATTATTTTTTTTTAAATTACCGAAACGCATAGTAAATGTTTGGATCCAAGCCGGTCACCGAGTATTTCTCTTGAGCGTTTGTGAGCGTGAGCTCCTGAAATCGATTTTTTAAATGAATAGGTTTAGCTTTTGGTTTACTTATAATTTTATAAATGATCACTACAAAATGCTTCTTCAAATTCAGACTTCACAAAGTTTCAATTCAACTATCATTCAACGAAAAAAAAACCATTTTTGATTTGACTAATCTTTCGCTTTTGACTTTTGACAGCAACTTTTGACAGCAACTTTTGTGAAGTCTGAATTATGAAGAAGCATTTTGTAGTGATCATTTATAAATCTTTTACAAATCATCATTACAGCAACTTTTGCTAGCTGTTGTCTGAAAATGTAAACCCACCGGAAACAGTCATATTCCGTACAATACGATAAACATTAAATATTATTTATTTAAAACAAACCCGTTCTCCTTCAGTGCCATTCATCCAGACAACGTATCGCAAAATTGGTTGCACGAGAAGCGGCTGTTCCCAAGTCAGCTGAATACCGCGAGAATCGCTGGCTTTAGCTGTCAGTGATTGCGGTTGACCGGGGACTAAAAGATTAAAGGTTAAAGGTTAAAGATTAAATATTAAAGATTAATGTTATAATAGTTACAAGATTTGATAGTTATAATATTCATTCTTTCTGTACTTTTGAGTTTTTTAAAACCACTCACTTCCTTGCGTAGTAATCACGGTGGCCAAGTTGCTCAATGGACTGACGCCTTTTCGATTTCGAGCCTCAAATATTAAGAGATTTTTAGAGCTATTAAGAGATTCAGCTAATTAATCTAATTTTTCGTTATCTTACTTGCACATAGATGTGATAAATAGCATCCAATTTTAAGCCATGAATTTGTGACGGAGGTTGACCGGTAACGTCTTTCTAAAGAAAGCTTTTTAAATTTTGTTACCACCTAAAAGATATTCAGTTTTTTCAGTAGAAAAAGAAAAGAAAAGAAAGAAAGAAAGAAAAGAAAAGAAAAGAAAGAGAGAATCGGTCAATCCACAGGCATTTCTTCTTTTAAACCTGAAGAGCCAAGTACCCAAGTTTTTTTAAGGCCTTTCACTGTTTACAATAGAAAGATCTTGTAGAAAAAGAAAGAAAAGAAAGAAAAGAAAAAGATTTTTCGTCTGTTAATCAATTGACTGAATGAAATTTGAGCCTCTCTTTGAGCAAATTGGGCATTTTCTATTTTTGGAGCCTTTTCTTTTCTTTTCCAATCAACACTCGTGAGAATTTTTCTCGTTTTTTTTTTTTTGGAAAAACCTTATAGAAAATACGATAAAAGCTCCATCTTATATGTAAATTTTACCGATTCCCAATGTGCTGTCGGAGTGTTCTTGTCACCATCGGTGTACAAGATACGGTAGCCCTGAAAATTGGGATTTCCGAGTTCAAAGCTTCTTCAAACTCTACTGAGTACACCTCTATTGATCTTGTTTTTTCTTTTTCTAAAATGTGTCACCTTTTCGAAAAGCCATAATCTTACCTCAAATTTCATGAAATCTATTCATTTTTTTGAGTTTTTATACCTTTTAAATTCTTTCTTAAACCCCCAAAATGAAAGATTTACTTTGGAAATCGGGCAATTCATTGCATTTCATGTTTTCGGGAAAACTATTTCTATTTCTAAAGTAAAACTCATTACAGTTTCCATCAAAAAGTATTGGGATTTAGGTTTGTTTTAGATATTCAGATATTTTTCTTTTAGATATGTTTTAGATAACCCATTCTGGAAAACTTGATTTTCTGCTTCTTTTCGCGTCTTTCCAAGTTACGGTAATGGTTTTGATTCTTTTTTTTTTAAATTATAAAGAATTCTGTTTTAATTCCCCTCACCGAAATCTCGCCATTCGGGTGTTCACTCGGTTCCCATGTCACGTAGATCGATCCGCGATTCATCGCTCGAGCTTGCACCTGAAATTTGAAAGCGCATTCCAAAAGAAAACTTGATTTTTTATATAATGTGGATTAGGCGTGGATGGATTCAAATAGAAGAACTCAGTATAGCGAGTGAGGATTGGACATGGGAAGACTCCAACCCGAACCTAATTCCACCATCGTTTTCTCAGTCGTCTTTTGACCGATTGCTGTCAAATTTTGTCTACAAATAGAAATTAGAATTCTCTGCTTGTAGACAAAATTTCAGAGCAATCGGTCAAAAGAAGGGAAAGAAGGTGATTAGGTTCGCTGGAATTTTCTTATGTCTAAAGTGTTTTGCTTATTAATCCCAAGATTAATGTCTCCTTTGTGCTCAAAGTTTTGTAAATAAACCCTTTTCTAGCTCGCAAAACACTTTACCTACATAAAGAAGATTCCAAGCCCACCTCCACCATCGCTTTCTCGTCGTCTTGACCGATTGCTGTCAAATTTTGTCTACAAATAGAAATTAGAATTCTCTGCTTGTAGACAAAATTTGAGAGCAATCGGTCAAAAAACGACTGCGAAAACGAAGGTGGAATTAGGTTGGGCTTGGAATTTTCCCGTGTCTAGTGAGGATCTGTAAGTTTACCTGAATAGGTCCTTGCTGTAAATCAAAAAAACAGATAATGCATTTTATATTTTGCACTAACTTTAGTCTATATCTATAATATAATTATATTCTAAATGGGTACAAACTTTTCTCGGCGGTGTACTCGGCGCGGCTTCAGCTGTTTGTGCCTCTCTTGGTGGCGAGGGATTTCCCGATCCAATCTCGTTCACCGTCGATATCGTGAATTCGTAAAGCTAAAAGATGGCCGAATTAGCGTAATCGTTTCTCCTTCAACTACCGTAAATGGCTCTAAATCGCCAATTGTTGCTCGCTGCAACTCGGCCGAGATCTCTTTGACACGGAAATGCGATGAATCACCGTATCTGATATTTTTGGCAATACTTTACATATTTCAATAAATATATCTAAATGAGAAATCCTTTTTTCACAACACAATCACATATATTCACAAGCATATACTCACTCGTCGTTTGCTTGAGTCTGAACGCGTCGCTTTCTGAAATGAAACGAACAAATCATCTCACACCATGCCAGTTGAGGAAAATGAATTTCTTGTTATTTTTCATGCTTTTTAAAACATTCAACAATGAAGACAAAGACCTACTTTTGACGAAATTTGATCAGATATTTGATTAGTCGTTCATTTTCGGGCAATTTCACGTGATCCCATGCAAGAGTGACTGAAGAAGAAGTGACCCCGTCGACACGGAGAAGTGATGGAGACGGTGGGGAGGCTGGAAATCGGGCAATTCATTGCATTTCATGTTTTCGGGAAAACTATTTCTATTTCTAAAGTAAGCCTCATTACAGTTTCCATCAAAAAGTATTGGGATTTAGGTTTGTTTTAGATATTCAGATATTTTTGTTTTAGATATTTTAGATATTCCCAGTTTGGCTTACAAAGTTTTGTTGGAACAGTTCTGCACTTCATTTATCTCTTTCAGATTAAGAAATTAGTGCACCGGAAAGCCCTGTGTTTACTTAAAGTGCTCAAAGTTTACTTTGAATCTAAACAATACAAATTTCACCCGAAGTTTTACTCTCAAATGAGTGAATCCAGCAAAAGAGAGGAAATTTGTTGCCTTTTTTAAAGGGTGAATGATTTGGAAAGTTATCGTAAACTTTCCTTCAGATGTGCGCGTTCGAACTTACTAGTGAAAGGTCAGGAAAGGTCACATTTCGCATACTTTTCTCGTATTAGAGTCCAATTTTCAATATCATTAAATAGATTTCTTTCGAAAGATGAAAAAAAATGAGCAAGTTATTTTGAAGTTGAAAAAGTTGAGATTAATTTAGAATAAAAATTGTTGAAGTGATCTTTGTTGAAAAATTGTTGAAGTGATCAGAGTTTCAAGCCAAGCTTCTCAGCTTTAATTGCAATTTGCGCTGCTTCAACAATTTTTATTCTAAATTATTCTAAATTATTCTAAATTAATCTCAACTTTTTCAACTTCAAAATAACTTTCTCATTTTTTTTCATCTTTTAATAGAAATCTATTTAATGATATTGAAAATTGGACTCTAATACGAGAAAAGTATGCGAAATGTGACCTTCCGACCTTTTTCACCCTTTCCTTTAGAAAAGGCAAAAAATTTCCTCTCTTTTGCTGGATTCACTCATTTGAGAGTAAAACTCCGGGTGAAATTTGTATTGTTTAGATTCAAAGTAAACTTTGAGCACTTTAAGTAAACACAGGGCTTTCCGGTGCACTAATTTCTTAATGTGAAAGAGATAAATGAAGTGCAGAACTGTTCCAACAAAACTTTGTAAGCCAAACTGGGTTTGGCTTGGCTTCGGACGGATTAAATTTGCCTTGGAGCAACTCTTGGAGCAACAGTGAAGTGTGCGAGAAAGTTTAAGGAGTTTACGAGCACAGAGTTCACCTCGAAGCTAATTTGTCTTTTGTACTCTTTTGATAAAATCAAAAGTTAGTACCAAATAAAGATTACAGTTAAATGAATATTTTACGATTTTTCGTAGTGTCATATTGCAAAGAAACGTTTGAGTTATTGTCTTGATATTGGGTTAGACAAAGAAAGCTATCGATAAAAAAATCTATCGCCAAGGAAAGCTATCGACAAAGAAAGCTATCGATAAAGAAAGCTATCGACAAAGAAAGCTATCGTTAAAGAAAGCTATCGCCAAGGAAAGCTATCGACAAAGAAAGCTATCAAAAAGTGCGCTGGAGACTCCAGATCCCATTTCTAGCAATAGATTTGGAGATTTTTTTACCTCATAAATACTATTTTTGAAAGCTTTTTGTTACTCACGTTTTGCCATAACTGTCGTTATCGCTTCAATATTCCCCAATTTACTGACGGCAACACATGTGAAATTCTCGCTTTTCTCCACCGCACTCAATGTGAGGATATTCTTGCCGATTGGCGCCGTGAGTGGATCGCTTAGAGCTACTAAAAGTTGACAAAGGTTTTTTTTTGTTTGTTTATCATTTTAAAAGCACTAGTTAAAAGTATTTCATTTCATTAAACACTGACCATCTCCACTTTTCTTCCAGAAAACCCTCGGCATCGGATAGCCAACAGCAACGCATGTTAGATTCAAATTCCCGCCAATATGAACCTAAAAAATGAACCACTTAAAATTAAATCCCTAATAGTTAAAGCTTTTCAGCAACTTTACCTTTACCAAAGCAACTTTACCTTATAAAGCTTCTCCAATTTGTACGAGAAATAGGGTGGCACACGGCGAACTGAAAAAATTTAGATTTAAATAGATTTAATCTTTTTTTTTTACTACCCGAAAACTCATGATAGTCTTCATGGTTTGATGTCTTTTTTGAATCTTTTGATGCTTTTTTCTCATTTTCGAGATTCGAAAAAATATCCAATGGAAGAGTGTTTCCCAGAAAACCCAAAGAAAAATGGGTGAACAGGAAAAATGCGAAGAATATCGGAAAATCCATTTCGTCATCTCATTTGAACATTCTTCTTTTTACTACTAAAGCTTTCCAATATTAAAAGTAAATCGCCACGTAATCGAAATGAGAAATCAAAATGTGAAGAAGCAAATGCAAGAAAGCAAGAAATGCTTTTTCTGGATGAGTAAATAGGAATGAGAGAAATAGAGGATTTGGAGAGAGGGAAAGAATCTCCTCTCGTGTCTATAAGCACTTAGTCTATTCAAGGTTTGTATATGGGATTGGTTTTAAATGAACTCTTGGCAAGGCTCTTGGCAAGGCTTCTAGAGTTGAGCTTGTGTTCAGAAAAGCTTACATTTTCTGAACGGTTTTCTCTTTAGAACTGAAATTTTAGCACATTGATCATCTCTATCATCTCTAAACTCTAGAAGCTCATCTCTATTAGCACATCTCTATCATCTGATCTCTATCATCTGACCTCTATCAGCTCACCTCTATCAGCTTATCTCTATCAGCTCATCTCTATCAACTCATCTCTATCAACTCATCTCTATCAGCTCATCTCTATCAGCACATCTCTCCTGCTATCATCTGATCTCTATCAGCTCACCTCTATCAGCTTATCTCTATCAGCTCATCTCTATCAGCACATCTCTATCACTGACCTATCATGCTCTATCATCTGATCCTATCATCTGATCTCTATCAGCTCACCTCTATCAGCTTATCTCTTCAGCTCATCTCTTCAGCACATCCTATCATCTGTCTCTATCACTGATCTCTATCAGCTCACCTCTATCAGCTTATCTCTATCAGCTCATCTCTATCAGCACATCTCTATCATCTGATCTCTATCATCTGATCTCTATCAGCTCACCTCTATCAGCTTATCTCTATCAGCTCATCTCTATCAACTCATCTCTATCAACTCATCTCTATCAGCTCATCTCTATCAGCACATCTCTATCATCTGATCTCTATCATCTGATCTCTATCATCTGATCTCTATCATCTGATCTCTATCATCTGATCTCTATCAGCTCACCTCTATCAGCTCATCTCTATCAACTCATCTCTATCAGCTCATCTCTATCAGCTCATCTCTATCACCAGATCTCTATCATCTGATCTCTATCATCTGATCTCTATCAGCTCACCTCTATCAGCTCACCTCTATCAGCTCATTTCTATCATCTCTATCACCTCATCTCTATCACTTCTAATCTCTATCACTTCTAAACTCTATCATCTCTAAACAAAGTTATATCCCTTTAAATCGGAATGGATCTCACGTAGCAAAGCAAAAAGAATAAGGCAAACCAAATCCAAGAACAAATTTACCAATTTAAATCCAGATCTGAGATTGAACAAAGCAATAAGTCAGGCCGAAAGAGAGACAAGATCTTTCTATTGTAAACAGTGAAAGGCCTTAAAAAAACTTGGGTACTTGGCTTTTGAGGTTTAAAAGAAGAAATACCTGTGGATTGACCGATTCTCTCTTTTCCCTCATCAACATCAACTATTCAGAATTTTCACCCCCATCCCCAGTAACCCTTTTTGCCTTTTTCATTGCCTTTTCAGTCAACCGGGAGACGAATCTTTTCCCTTTTCCCCGAATCGGTTCACCATATAAAATGGACAACAAATGAATGCATTTAATCGAAAACAAAGAGATTTTAAGACACCTGAGTGAAATTTTCGACTGAATCAAGATCAATGCTTTGATTCTGAAGGCTTTTTACCACAAAATTCAAAACAATAAAGAAGCAAATGATGTCACTTTGTCTCTATTGTAAAGAAAATTTTGATACAACAAAATTTCGATACTTTAGAATTATCCAAAAAAAAATGTTATCCGACATTTGAGACGCGCCTCGCTCCTTTTGCCATTTCCTAACTTTGAGCTCAAATATCTTAGTGTTGAGCTGTTCAATTTAGAAATGATTCATACCATTAGATGCGCCAAGTCTTTCTCTGTTGATTGATACAAAAACTATTGAAATTGGACAGCTAAATACCAAGAAATTTGAGCTCAAAGTTAGGCAATGACAAACGGAGACATATCAATGTTCGATAATCTTCAACAAATGTAAATGAATTTAATGACATTAAAAAATATGAAGCGGAATAATTAGAGATGGAATGGCCCTCTTTTAGACCACTCGAAAAAGCGGCCGGTTTTGTTTTCTTTGCCGATATATTCGAGCGATTATCTCTTCATTCTATTGACACACACCACCACAATCAATTGCGGGGAAAAGGCAAAAAAAACAAAAGATGGAAAATGGTTTGCATGAAATTAGCGTATCCTAGTTTGACTATAGCCTAGTTATAGATCAAAGGAAATTGATTACGATGGAAAACAACTACTGCAATCAAATGAAAACTAACGGGTTTAACTACAGTAGTTTAAGTGCCTTTAAGAAGCCACAAAAAAAACAAAGATGGAAAATAGTTTGCATGAAATTAGCGTATTCTAATTTGACTATAGTTTAGTTATAAATCAAAGAAAATTGATTACAATGGAAAACAACTACTGCAATCAAATGAAAACTAACGGTTTAACTACGGTAGTTTAAGTGCCTTTAAGAAAACGCGAAAGAACACAGTTTACCGTATTTGTTCGAATAGAAGACCGGGTAAAGAGTATGATCGCGTACTCCTGCGTAGCAGCCCTTTTTAAAATTTCTTTTTTGCATAAAAGCTTTCAATCAAGTGTTATAGAGCTGGAAAATGGCTCAAAAATACCACATGAGCTAACAGATTCTTGAGCCATTTTCCAGCCCTATAGCACTTGATTGAAAGCTTTTATGCAGAAAAGAAATTTTAAAAAGGGCTGCTACGCAGGAGTACGCGATCATACTCTTTACCCGGTCTTCTATTCGAAGAAATACGGTATCTGTGATTTCTATTTGATGAAATCACAGATTTGATGCTAAATTTTTTGTTCACCAAGCTCTACAGAGATTATGGTAGCTTTTGGCGTGTTTTAGAAACAAACCAACAAACAAACAAAACCAAAACTTCTCCTATTGAATCCATTTTAGTGTAAATCTCGATCTCCTTGTTCCCTAGAGCTATGACATCTGGGAGGATGAATAGAAGAAACAACAAAGGGTACACTCACAAAAGTTGCGCAACTCTTGCCCTCATCCTTCCCCGAATTTCTAAGCGTTTTCCAATTCATTTCCTTTTCTTTCTTGGAGCTAAATGGTCAACAAAGGCAACATGTGTTTTACACCCGCAATTTCGCTTTTTTTTATCCACCCAACCCATTCGATTTCCCCTTCAACCATTATGCTATCCCTCGTCCAATTTGCATAGATCTCGCCAAGCTTTAGAATGGTCAAAAAAAAGAGAAAAGGGGAAAAGTCGAGAAGATAAATCTAACGCTAAACAGATGTCCCTCTCTTAAATGAAAACCATTTTCTTGACTTTAGCGCTACTTTGGGTTTAGGAAGAGGAAATTACGAAATTGGATACCATTTCTCTAAGATAATATAAGACTTGGATAACGAATTTACTGTCATTCTACTATCAAAGACAAGGTTAGGGTTGTAGCAAAAGCTCGCCAAAGGCAGGGTTTTTCTTGGCCAGATCAGGCAAGGTTATGGCTATGCTAGCTCAATCAGCCAAGCTAGGCCAGAATCCAGATTCTGGCCTAACTTGGCTGATTGATAGGGATTAAAGAATTGGAAACATTCTGGATAAGTTCAGTTTTCAAGTACATACGTACAAAGTACAAAGTAAACTTTGAGAGTCGATTTAGCAAAGCAAAGATTTTTGCCTGAGAATACAAATGACTGAGCTATGTGTGAATGATCGTTGAATGAGGAGAATGAGGAGATGACAAGGGTGAGTTCAGAAAAAAGACGGCGAAAGAGTCGATCAAATAAAACGGATTACTCGTCATCGCTTTGAAGTGCTTGGAAAAAAGAAGGAAACTAAAGCTGCCGAAAGGTCGATAGGGTATTTTATTTTTTCTAAATATCCCTTTTGAATCCACACATGGAGCACAGAAGAAGCCAGATGTGAGTGAGGAAATTGATGAATATAAACAGACGAAAATTTTGAATTCATTTTGAATTTATTTGGAGTTTTGTCTTTTAGAAAGTCATCCTTACGATAGAAAATATTAAAATATCAACTGGTCTGTGATTTTCAAAGCAATCGAAAGCTGTATCTGAGGATTTTTCAAAGCTACACTTCTAAAATAATCTCTAGCTAAAAAGCGGAACATTTGGATATGAGAAAATAAAGAAATTTTCTAATATTGGGTTGGTGACTTTGAAAACTGCCGGCTATTGTCATATGTGACAGTTTGAGCACTTTCTTCAAAAGAAACCCATTTTGGTGTCAATGGAAAAGTTGTAGAAAATCGAAAATCAAGCTTATATCCAAATTTCCAAAAAGATTCCAAAAATAGTTCTGCTTAAAATTTGCGTGTTTTGTGTGTTCTTTGTGCGGCCGCGTAATCACTTGTCTTCTGGAGCAGGGCTTTTACATAAGCCCCTTCCCTCTCCCTTCGCCAAACTAATGTCGCCGGCTCCGAATCCTCAAATTAAACATTCACTTCTCCACAAATCACGGCTAATCTCAATCTATTGGGTTGGCGAATTGAAAGCCTTGGGCTATTGTCATATGTGACAGTTTGAGCACTTTCTTCGATAGAAACCCATTTTGGTGTCAATGGAAAAGTCATTAACATATAAACACACGAAAATTTTGAATCCATTTTGGATTTATTTATTTATTTTGGAGTTTTGTCTTTTAGAAACTCATTACGATAGAAAATATTGGGTTGATGCATAATTATCCGGACTTCTTTTTGC